TGTATTGTCAACAAATCGTTAATTGCTGATTGAGTACCTAGTCTAACTTGATACACAATCGAATTAATAGTGTTTAAAAGCTAATTATGGGAAAGCACTGTACAGCTTTAACTAGTTGATTATATAGAAATATTTGATAAATAATATATATAAATGTAATTAATATTGTAACCTTTTATTACAAAAATCTCATCGAATTATTCTTTCCATATTTAACTTTTTGACTAAAAAAAATTAAATCAATACTTATCCTAAAACAAAATATTTGATAAATAATATATAAATGTAATTAATATTGTAGCCTTTTACTACAAAAATCTCATCTAATAATTCTTTCCGAACTTAACTTTTTGACTTAAAAAATATTTTAAATCAATACTTATCCTAAAACGTTAAGGTGTGCTTGGATATAAGGTAGTGATTGGACATTTTGGTTGATTGGGATTTTTGGTTAACCAAAGTCAATTTTAAAAAATTAAAAAAAAAAATTATTTAGTTATGTTTGAGTGTGATATTAGATTTGTATTAAAATGATATTTAAACTAAAATGATTAAAGATGATTTGATGTAAAAATATTAGAAGTGTGATTGAAAGTGATGAGTAGTTAAATATTATATAAGTTAATAAATATATTGAATTATAGTTAATGTGATGTATGAAGATAATTTTTGATATTATTTAATTAAATTGATATTATTGGGGATGGAGTGTTGAGTTAAATTTGAGTAAGATTTTGATTTAAATTGATCTTCTTGATGGAGGTTGTACCCCATTAGAGAGTTATTTTGTTCTAGTGGGGTAGGTTTATATTTTCTGGTTCTTTTAGTATTAGTTGACACCCCGTTTGTACTTTATTGAGTTTTCTAGATATTAATATAGTTGTCATTTTGAACAAAAAAAAAGTAAGTTGAACCAGGCTAAAAGAACGATCTCATGAACAATCATCAGCTTGGAGCTTCGATGACCTGTAATGCGCCGAGAGGGATCCGTAGACGCTCCGACGCTCAAGTTAGTACTTGCTTAAGGAGTATATCGGTTGTAAAATAGAACAATGCATGTATGCAATGTGTAAAGTAAAGAATCCTACTTAGGAAATAGATCCTCTCGTTTCAACTTTTCTAACTCACCACGTCTCTACAACCTAAGACTCAACAAGATACACTTTCCATCCATGAAGAATCTTTCCCCTCTTACCCTACGACTCCTAGGTCCGAGGGTCGTAACCACGACTGTTTACTTACCTGTCGTAAGTTGTACCTAGGTGGCAACGACGACCTCCACCTTCATGGCCTACAAGTCATGAGGTCTCATCAAGTACCCAAGCTCCTTGGGCTCTGTTGTAAATATTTTCCGGAGTTAAATCAAAAGATTCGACATCGGGTCGTGTCTCTCGAGGAAGGTCAGCCGAATTATTTCGTACGATTATTCAAACACAAAAATGGAAAATAAAAGAAATAAAAATCCTAAATATTCTAAATCAAGTTTGGTTGGTTTTTAATTATCAACTACTGCGAATAAATAAAATAAAGCAAGTAAATAGCAAACGCTCACGTAGAACAAATAAGGATTAAGAAGCTAGGGAGTCGGGGATTCCCGCTTTGGTTCGATATGCAACTAACGGGCAAGTGATTGTTCAGCTAAGAAATTTGAATAATCTACCAGATCAAGCATTCATTCCCAATAACTATTCGTACCAAGAGAATACACTAAAACGGCAAATTAACTAGTCAATTAACTCCTAGGCAATACAGTTACGAACAAGCCTAGTTCATGCGAATCTATTTCGACCGACTCCTCCCCTTCCGGTTCTAAGAGCCGATTAAATAATCCTAGAAGATGTTTAATCAACTAGTCGATATAGAGTTAACAATATCACGCGAGAACGAATCAAATTCAATCAACAAGCAATTGTAAATCGAAGTGTCACTTTTTCAATAATTCTCAACATTCAAGCATGAATTGAAAACCCTAATTAAGCATGATTCGCATAAATTGAACAATCTTGAGCCCGACAATCACAAACAAATTCAAAGCATCGATCCCCTATTCCGTAGCATAAAGATTTAGCCACTCATGCTCGAATAAACAACGAAAGCATTCATCACAACCCAAGAATTCATAATTAACGATAAAGTTAAAAGAAATCTTATGTTTGATAAAATCCAAATGTCGCCTTCGATAAACAAGATTAATTCCAAAAGAAATAGCCAAATCCAAGTTCAAATCCTTATTCTTCGTTCAAAACGATGGAAAGAAAGTGAAAAACGAGAGA